CATATAGTGGGACCCAGAGGCTTCAGAGCTGCCCACCAGGGCCTCTTAATACTAGGACTTATTGTAAGGCTTGTTAGTTTTTCTTTTTCTTTTGTTCTTAAATAATGCCATCAGGTTTAATACATTTTTATGATAGTCCTAACAATAGCAAGGTTATTAACTGCCAAATTATTTGGGAAATATTCCTGTTCCTGTTCAGTTGAGACAGCTGAGGCATAATTATAGCAAAACTCATAATTCAATTTGATTCGATTCCATTCCTTAACAATGCTAATTTTCTCCTCCAATTGTAAAATATTGGGCAGTATGCAACAGCAAAATAAAAATCCAATAAAATCACAAATCAGATACCAAAGATAAATGTCCTCAGGTGTGTGTGTGTGTGTGTGTGTTTATGTTTGTTTTCAGAATGTTAAAAAGGTAGTATTTCCAGCAGTAAAAAACAGGTTAATTTTTTTTGCTTTAAATTCATCTTGAGTACTTTGAGTCAACAGCTGTTATGTAAGCAAGCAAAAAAGTAAAGCAATGACAAGGAAGAACGAGGTTCACATCCTCAAAAAAAGAATGAACATTCATTCTCTTTTCTGTCCCCATCATTCATTGTAATTAATGGTGTTGTTTGGTTGCTTTTTTAAAAAATGCACCTTTTATTTCCTGACCTGCTGGCATCACAAGAACTGTTTTAAGTTTCTTTACTGTTTAAAGGCCAGGCATGAATTATTGAGATAGCCCTAGGGCAGGTTGAGATTTCTGCTGACTTGGTCTCTGTAGAAATGAACTCGGGGGGGGGGGGGGGGAAAACAACAGAGCCAGGCCAGTAGGGGAACAGGCAACTCAAGGATGATCTCAGCAAGGGAGGAGATGGAGGATATCACAGGCCAGGCAAGTTGATGACAGGCAGAAAACATTTATGATTCGGCTAAGGGGAAGAGGGGAAACTGAGGTCTCTCTGCATTTTCTTCCAGGGTGAATCACCCCAATATCTTACAACTGATTGACACATTTGAAACGAGGAAGGAATTCTACATTATCCAAGAATTGTAAGTTTGACTGAGAAGTGATGATAGATATAGATTAGATAGATAGATAGATAAATGAGATATGCAAAAAGAATACAGAACATTAATATTAATGTACTGAAGTTATTTCTTTTTCCCCCCAGGCTGATATGCCAGCTTTATTTGATTGTATTTATTTATACTTTCCAAGGAAATGAAAATAGCATATACAGCTTTCATATACCCCCATTTTTTTCAACTCAACTATTCTATTAGATGGTTTAATCCAGAGAGTTTTGTGGCTGATATGAATTGAGGCCTTTCCACTCCTAGGCTAGGATTACTCAACACACCAAACCAAGGGTGCACAGGACCCCCAAGCTGCTCTCAGAAGACTTGAGAGCAAACAGACAGCCTCCCCTAACGTTATCACCAAATCAGACCTTTTAATGCCACAAAAGGAAAGAATAATTCTACATATGAAAGGGAATATATAAATAATTTAATTTTACATTTTTTAAATTGCAGCTGCCCACTTCTTTGCCCCGGCTGCATCCACAAATTTCTGGTCTGCAGCCGTTAACATGTCAAAGGAGTCATCTTTGGGATGGAGAAGGTTGCCACTCCTGCCCCAAACTAAAATCAAACTATACTTTAGCACGATGGATAAACTGAACCAATGTATTGTGGTTTGTAAACATGTTTGATGGTTTATATAAATGCAGCCAAATATGTCTATAGCAGATGATAGTTAAGCAAGCCTTGGCTTAGTGGATATATAATCCAGCCCAAGTGTGATTCACCCCGCCTTCAGATTGCTTCTGTTTAGCATTCTGAACAGAGAAACTCTGCATATGTCAGGCTCTACCCTGGCATGATATGCACGGCGTCTTTGCCTAGTACTTAATCATACCATAGCTTTGCTGCAGAAGTCCAGATGAACAGTAGATGGTAGCAGTAGATGTTATGTCTTTGTATGCCACTGAGTGGCCATCTGGGGTCTACTCAATTCCACTTGTCAAGCTGGCTATGGTATTCCCTACAGGGCTACTGGCGGCGATGTTTTTGACTGGATTCTAGACCAGGGCTACTACACAGAAAAGGATGCCAGCAACGTTGTGCGGCAAGTGCTGGAGGCATTAGCTTATTTACATAATCTGCACATTGTTCACCGCAATCTAAAGGTAAAGAAACGGCACTGAATGCTAAAGCCAAAATTTTCAGAGCAACTATCCCCTCTAGTGGTTTTACCTGGGATAGCTGTCCTTTTAGCACTGGAAGACATTTTCATGAATGGGGGGACAACGCACCCTTTTCTCCCTGTTGTGAAGGAGAGTGCAAGGAAGGTTGCTAATTTGGGGCTCTTTCTTTTAGCTGGAGAATCTTATGTACTACAACCAGAATAACCGCTCAAAAGTGGTTCTGCGGGATTTTTATCTTTCACGCTTTGAGAATGGTGCCATCACAGAACCATGTGGGACTCCTGAATATTTAGGTATGTACTTGCCTTCGGACAGAGAAGAAATATCCCAGATGTGACATACTTTCTCCTTGCTACATTTGCAAACTGTCCTGAAAAAGAACTGCACAGTCAAATATTCAACAAGTGGAGTTTTTCTCTCCGTAAGACAGAAAAGCTCACCTCTTAAATTTCTGTTCTTTGTGCATCGACAGAGTTCTATTGGGAAATGTGAAGTAGCAAATCTAGCATCTGCCTCTTGCTGCACGGGATATGTCTTGCTCACATTTTCTATAGTTGTCTTTGATCCATTTGTCTGCCCTCCCAGCTCCTGAAGTGGTTGCTCGGCAACGCTACGGACGTCCTGTTGACTGCTGGGCTGTTGGAGTTATCATGTTTATTCTGTGAGTTCCATTTGTGTGTGTGTGTGTGTGTGTGTGTGTGTGTGTGTGTGTGTGTGTGAGAGAGAGAGAGAGAGGGGGGGGGAGAGAGAGAGAGAGAGAGAGAGGAAGGGAGGAGGAGGGGAGGGGAGAGAGAGAGAGAGAGAGAACGCGCCGGCATATCAGAATGTACAGAGAACGGGCAGGTCCATATTTTTGCAGTTGCTTTGCTAGGACTATCAGATCTGAGCTACACAACAGCAAACAGCTGCTAAATAGAAGTGATATGGAAAACATTAATTCTTTGCTGCCATCTAATGGTTACCAGGATTTCTGTAGCCTTGATATGCTATGCTAGGTGGACACAATAACCCTCCTAATCGAGCACATTTGAAGCACATCAATCCAAGGAGTGAGGTGAGAGCCAGCAGGTCCCAGGCTAGAGGGGGCTGTTATATAAACTTTTTTCAGCTACTTCAGCAACCAAGCAACCCCCTCCCATGTATCCTTTGGACGGATTGGGAGAAGGATTTCATTCATACCCCCCCACCCGATATTCATTTAGAACAGACATGTCAAACACAAGGCCCAGGGGCCGGATGTGGCCCGTGACATGGTTTCATGTGGCCCGCGAAGCCATCCTGGAAACAGTGAGGGAATGGCCCCCACTGCCTTGGCCCCAGCCCAGGCCGCCCGGGAGCCAATGTACAATTTTGTGGTGGCCATCTATGCTGAAACGCATTCAGTCTTAGCTCCACAAGGCCGTCTGCAAACAGCAAGGGACTGCCCCTGCCACATTGGCCCCGCCCCCTGGGTGCGCGCTGGGGAGGTGTCACCCTTTGTGAGGAATGAAGAAATGCACCATCGCCTGGAAGTGGCCAGCAAATGGCCCTCGCCTACTTCACATATCTGGCTTGATGGGCTCCAGGGGAGGGGTTTCAGCAGGCAGTGGGGCGCTGTCCTCACAGCGCCAAGAGGCTGAGCCAGGTGGCGCGAATCCAAAAAGAAGTGTGCCGCCACTCAGCCCCCAGCCTGCTGATTTCAGCAGGCAGCAAGGTGCAAAGCTGGCAAGCTTCACACTGCCCGGCTCAGCCTCTCGGCGCTATGAGGAGAGGACCCCACTACCTGCCGAAATCAGGCAGGCTAGGGGCAGGGTGGCGTCACACTTCTTTTTGGATTCATGCTGCCTGGCTCCGCCTCTCGGCACTGTGAGGAGAGCACCTCGCTGCCTGCCGAAATCAGGCAGGCTGGGGGCTGCATGGCATTGCACAGGTAACATTGACTCTCACGCTGCTCATGGCATCCCCTCCCTCAAAGCCCACCAAGCCAGATATATGAAGTAGGCGAGGGCCATGTGCTGGCCACTTCCAGGCGATGCTGCATTTCTTCATTCCTCATGAAGGGTGACACCTCCCCAGCTGCGTTTCTTGCCTGTTTTTCTCCCTCCCTCATCTCAAATATTTTCCCATCACTGTTCTTAGGAAGGAAGGAAGGAAGGAAGGAAGGGAGGGAGGGAGGGAGGGAGGGTCTGAGGGAAGTCCTGCCTTAGTCCTGCCCAGCTGCCCTTTCACCATCCCTTTGCCCCCTCCTCCTGGCCTATCCTGGGGGTCTCCCATCCTATTGCTAAGGAAGCTTTGGATACAAAGCCGGATCTCCTCCCATGGAGAGGGAGTGGGGCTCCCTCTGACTTTGCCCTAATACCCATCATGAGCAACCTGGCTAAGGAGAGTAAGCACAGCAGCAGCAGCCTTGAGGAGGAGATAAGTGCAGCTGCCCCCCCCGGGGTAGTGGGGCTGGGCTTGGTGCGCGGGTGCTTGAGGACCGGCCTGGGTGTTTGACCTCTGTTGCCCAGGGCTCCGGGAAGCCTGCTGCACCATCCAGCCCTCCCTCGCATGGCCTGAGAGGAACAGTGAGGTTCTTCCAGTGGACCATGCCTTGGCGCTTGCCCTGGTCCCACCCCCTTCTGCCAGAGACCCTCAGATCTGTCCCATTCCTGCCCAGGCCCCACAGGTATCCTTGATGCGAACGATGTAGAGCTGGCCATACCCACCCAATAGGCCACGCCCACCCTGGCCACACCTGCCCGGCCCCCCAAGGACAACCGCAATGCTGATGCGGCCCTCAATGAAATTGAGTGTGACACCCCTGATTTAGAAGGATTAGGGGAAAAGCTAATTTTAATTCTGGAATATAGCCACACAGAAATCTCTGACTTTCTTGCACTACAATAGGATGCCAACTGTTGTGTTTCAGGTTTCATTCTTATCTGCAATAAGATTCTAAACTAGCTAAATTGTGTCTTCTGCCAAATCTAGTTTAGACTTGAATTAACATTCAGGGACTGGAGACCTTTGTTTTACTGCCGAACGCGGGTATGAAGCCTAAGAGTCATGTTGGGACAAGTTAACATAAGTTGAAAAATCACAACAAGCTGACCAGCATATTTGGCTATAAGCATAAACACTACATTAAGAAAACGTGTGGCTTCTTTCTTCTTCTTCTTCTTCTTCTTCTTCTTCTTCTTCTTCTTCTTCTTCTTCTTCTTCTTCTTCTTCTTCTTCTTCTTCTTCTTCTTCTTCTTCTTCTTCT